GAGGTGTGATTTAGCCACACATGCTACTTTTACTAATGTGACACAAGATGACTAGCATCTCCGCAACTCCTCCACACGCACACGCAGAAAGCGTCAGGCTGTGTCCTCAGCGGCGTCTGCACTGACCACGTAGCCTAGCCGTGATTCTGCAGGTCACAGGCCTCCCTGCTGGACCACGACAGCAGCCCGGAGCGCACAGCAGGGTAGCTTTGTGTTAAAGTTTGGAACAAACAGCACTGCAGCTCGTGTCTGACGTGAACACATTTCCCTGCTGTGTCACACAGAACATGAGAAATCCGCCACAGGCTTTGGCAGCACCCATTTTAGGGTCCAGAACTCCTGCGTGAACATTTGGAGAGTTCCTGTGTCCACGTCTCTGTCACTGCAGCTCTGTAGCGAGAGCTCCAGGGGCCTGAGCTCACCAGAGACTAAAAATAAAAGCATTTAAAGACTGCGCTGACTCTGGATTTCAGTCTCTGGAGCATCTGCGGTGTGGTGGTCTGAGCGTGTCGGCTGCTGGTTTCTCTTCAAATGCCTATAATCACAAATCTGAGCTCAGGTATGTCTCAGGCCTCTTCATAAAATGGTTTAGTAGTTAGGGCTTTTTTCATGTGCCATTCAAGCTCCAGATAACATCTGGTGCAGGATGTGTTGAGCCCTGGTCCACGCACACAGCGCTGCTTTATATGAAGTCTCTGCAAAGCAACCTCACCTGTCCCTGCTGCACCGTTCTCCAGCAGCTGGTTTGAGTCGTTTCTGGATCATCTCTCTCGCTGCGTCTCACTGAGAATATTCCATGTTGGTTAAAAATATCATCAGAAATTATTTTATGGCTCCAACTACAGATTTAAAGGGAAACCCGGGATGAATATTTTGGTGCCTCAGTTTGAACATCACCCTGAGAGGATTAAACGTCGTCCCAGAACACTGGGATGATTCAAGGCTGCTAACTGTACAGTTAGCAAACGGATCCATCGGTTATCCAGCTCTGCTGCTGTGCAGCTGGGTAGATAATCAGTCTTTATTCCCTAACACGACCTTCATGTTGCATTTCCCAGCACGTCTCCAGCTGTGTAAACATAAACAATCAGTAAACCGTAGCTTTTCTATTTAAAAATAATCATTTCTAAATTCTGTAAGTTTGTGTTTGGCTGGTTATTGAATTAGCTTCACTGATTATTTTCAGGACTTTGTAGAAACTATCTGAACCTGTTTGAACCTGCTGTGCATTGGAAACTTGGAGAAAGCTCCAAAGTGATTAAAGTAATGAGAGCTGAGCTTGTGTTTGAAAATTGGACATGTCAATAATGGATTGCATTTATAAAGTGCTTTACAATTCCACTATT